ACACACACACACACAGTACAATGTTTAAATAACAGGTGTGTACAAGTCTCAAATCAGAAACAATGCAAACACACACACAGGTATGCACACGTCAGCCTGGATACTTGATCAATATTGTGGAAGGGGCACTAAGAACTTCTCACACACACACTCCCACAGCCTCCCTGAAGATGTAGTCTGGTTGGTGAGCTGGCTGCCTCCCCCAGTTGCCCTGGGGCCAAGAACAGTGTGAATACATATCATGCACCCCCACACACTCACACATGTGACCTTCTGTGTCCCAAAGACCCCCATGGAGACTGATGCCTGACTGGTGAGCTGTCTGCCTCTACTAATCACTACACCACAGCCAAGAAATAGTGTGACTCCAGACGCGCAATTTATGCTCTGCGCTGCTCACAGCTTGGCTTTGCAGATGACCTTCCATGGAGCAGGTTTTGGTGAGTGTTTGTTCACTTTGGAACAGACGATGTGCATCATGGTGGACCGGGCTTTGACCCATGTTATGAAGGGAGGAATCAGCTGTGAGTGAACCTGGCCCACCTTGCACTGACAGTTTGTTCCACATGCAGAAGACCTCCGTGTCCCACCCACATGCTGCACCGCATCTTCCCCAGCAAACCAAGGTAACAGCGTCCTCAAGCACATCCTTTGTCCGTCTTACCCATTACAGCATTTACAGCAAGACTTAAATAATCTTTCATAAACGCAAAATCGTATTTGTTGGTGACACACGTTCCTGGATGTACAGTGTAGTCCCACGGATATTTGTCATTGTATGTCACCTCTCCTCCTCACATTCAGTCCATATGTTGTGTTGGATCGTTTAGCTCCACTGCTGGGTTTCCCCATCATGTTCATCTGTTGTTCTGAATTGTAGGCGGCTCTCGGCTTCTTTCCAAAACTGGCCTACACTATGAGACAGATGATTTTTTGGCTTTAATGCCAAATGAGTTTTCCCGCCTTCTCTTCCAACACTCTAATTAAATAGAAGTCACGCAATAAATTTAAACTTTAACCCAGAAATTCTTAGTTTGTGGTCACCACAAACCTCCATCCATTCCACTCCTCAGCTGGCTTTCTCCCACACACGGAATTTCACCAAACCACTAAAAGTAAATTCAGGATATATTCCTAAAAACAATGGCAAAAGGTAGAATACTTTGTTCGCGTTCTAACATTTCGTATGTAGGCTAATATAATGTGTTCTGTGGTGCCATTTAAGTGCCTCATCATTATGAATAATCTAGTAACAATCTTTTGACAGACAGTGATGCCTTACTTTCTTAGGTAACGCCACAGTGAAGACAGTGACAAAACCCGCCCCATCACTGCCTTTCTTGTCGCTTCCTCCGGTGACTCTCACCCCTCCTCCCCGGCTGACGTAGAGAGAAACCTCCGCTGCCTACACTGTGGGCGAAGACCCTGCCGCGGGTATAAACAGCTTCCCGGGACTCCAGGACGTCACTGCTTGAAGCCGCAGCAACTCGTTCACCAGAGCTGAACCTCAGCAGAGATAGCAGCAAGCAGGCCCTTACACGCCGCGCAGGCTAACTCGCTTTCGGCTTTGGTTCGAGATGGGGACTCGTTGCACCGTGAGGCGCTCCAGCGCACGCAACTTTAAAGGTGAGTTGCTCCATTTGATGCACCTGCAGTTTGAATGCAATGCAGTGTTGTGATTTAGTACGTTTATTGCCGTCGTCTTTTTTTAACAAGTATCAAGTTTACGGAACGTTCATATTTTAAACTTGAAAATCACATTAATGCTTGCATGAAAACAACTGCATTTATAGACTTCATGATGCTTTTACGCGCAGTCATTTTGCATATCGGCCTAATTTGAATGGTTAACCAAGCTGCACCCATTTAAATTAAAATCATGTTTATCAATTGTGGATCTTACAAATTAAGAGCAATGTAGAGGGAGACAGACTGCGCACATTTGGAGCATTTTAGCGCAAACGTGACAGTAAGAGCAAGAACAAAATCTAATTTATGCATGAATTGATGTGATATCGAAGAAAAACGTAATTTACAGCACGTGATCAAGTTAGTTTATCTGTTTTGGCTCACCTATAAAGTTTACCAAAACCTCGTTCAATCTCTCCATATCTCTTTTACGCATGAAGATATGATTCATGCGCACACGATTCCAAATGTTTCCTAATCTCGTGTCGACTGTGGAGTAAATACGACGTGCAAAAACTCGAGAAAGGTGTCTCGTTCCACTTAACAGCCCAGTCTCTAGTTCTCCCTCAGCCTCCAGAGCTAGTCCGACATGTTAAAGGTCAAGAGGTGAGCCACTGGAAAATCTTGCGCACAACAGCTGAATGGGAACCTCATCATTATTACATGTATGTGCTTTTCCCCCGGTGGCCACCTTTGTACGCCGTTATCCGAGCTGTGCCAAGAAGCTGTTGCAATATTGATAAGAACTGAAACTGATCCGGGTCTGGTTGCCGGTTTTACGCGCGCCCTCTGCGTGGTAAACCTCTCAACGGAAACGTCCTTTTGATAACCTGAGAACTAGGAAACCAGGTTAATTTAACGCATTGAAGCACTGTGTGATTCAAGTTTCTTGTCCCTTACATGTCCGTTTCAATAGATTTGTGGAGATTTCGTGTTCTAAAAAGCTTGTTATGTAACAGTGTCACAACAGCCATGGAGACCTTTGTAAAGTGGTCTCCAAGGTGGATAGGAATGGGTGAATGATTTCTGTAATGTAACCTGGTTACATTATACATGAACCCCAAATTACTGGGAGCCATCAACAAGTCACAGGCGACAGCACAGCAGTGCTAAAAAGAATCACTATCGACAGCAACAGGTTTGACAGACAGACAGTGAAGAAAGACTGGTGCCAAAAGCTGAAATCAACCTCTCTTTCTTTCTCTGTCTGTCTCTCAGACTAACTGCTGCAACAATGGTCATTTGCTGCTAACCGGACCTCCAATTGTGTTCCATTTCTTGTCAGGAGAATTAACCTCCTCTCTCTCTCTCTCTCTGCAGGTGGACTATGTCTGTGGCTGATTCTGTGGCTGGTGGTGGTGAAGCCGGGCGGGGTATCTGCATGTCCCAGGCTGTGTGTGTGTTACCCCACGCCCATGACGGTCAGCTGCCAGTCCCAGAACATCACCATAGTGCCGTCCGGTGTGCCATATGACTCACAGCGTGTTTTCCTGCAGAACAACCGCATCACAGAACTGCGTGCGGACTCTTTTGGCTTCGAGACACAGGTAAAAATGTCTCAGTGTGTATACATCTGTTGAATTTCCCAGCAATATTTGCAGACATTATTATTTGTCTTTTTTTCTCCTCTCTAATCCCATCATTTGTTCTTCATTCTGTGCAGGTGCTTTGGCTATATGGCAACAACATCACATGGATCGAGGCCGGGGCCTTCAGTAACCTCAGGGTGCTGGAGGAGCTGGATATGGGCGATAACCCACTACAGCGCCTGGAAGGTGGAGCCTTCAGGGGCTTGGAGAAGCTGCAGAGCCTGCACATGCATCGGTGCAAGCTGGCCACTCTCCCCCATGACCTCTTCCACAAACTGTACAGCCTGCAATTCCTCTACCTGCAGGTAAAACCAGCACACACTAAACACACTCATGCAAAAATACATATTTGATAGTCATGCATGAGTGTGTAGATATGATGCTTTCAGGAATACACACTTGTGTTGCAGAATTACCTGATGGACACATCAGTTGCCAACATGCAGGCTGAACACCCACACACAAAGAGAGACACTTTTAACCAGTACATGTTGAAGAATTGTTTTAAGTAGGTTCAGTGATTTGCACACAGCACATAAACTGAGACTATATTTATTTTATACGTAAACATTTAAACACTCATAAGATCTAGAACCAGTGCAGCACATCTTAGGTTCAATAGCACTATTCATCATACAATTAACCAAGCACAACCTCAAGTGTACATATATGTTATGATAGGGATTAATTCCCTCCTATCAAAGTTGATAGTTAACACTGACTTTTTTTTTTCTAACTAGAATCACACAACAGACTTACTTTTCCTGAAATTTTCCACAGCACTAAATCTTCTTATATTTTGACTTTGTTCCAGGAGAATCAGCTCCACTTTCTGCAGGATGACCTGTTCTCAGATCTGGTCAACCTCAACCACCTCTTCCTGCATGGAAACCGCATCCGTGCCCTCTCTGAGAATGTGTTCAGAGGCCTGGTCAACCTGGACCGCCTCCTTCTCCATGACAACCGTGTCAGGCAGGTCAACCGTCGGGCTTTCCGTGACCTGGGCCGCCTGACCATCCTTTACCTGTTCAACAACTCCCTGGCCGAGCTGCCAGGCCAGGCCATGACAGACACCCAAGGCATCCAGTTCCTCCGCCTCAATGATAACCCCTGGTCCTGCGGATGTGAGGCCCTTCCCCTTTGGGAGTGGTTCCGCAAGGCCCGCATCTCCTCCTCTGAGCTCATGTGCACCTCACCATCCCAACGTCGCGGCCAGGACCTCAGATTCCTCCGGGAGATGGACTTCGCCCTCTGCCCTCTGCCTGACCCCGGCTCTCTGGCAGGAACCACCACGACCACCTTCAGCACCAAGACCCGCTGGTGGTTCTCCAAGCACAAGCCCGCATCTTCATCCAAGGCCTCATACAAGAAGAGCATTGAGGGAAAACCTCAGTACCTCCCCAAAACCCCCTCTGAAACCTTCTCCTCCAAGTATGAACTGTCGGAGGATGAGGTGGCGCTCCCCAAGCTGGACCAAGAAGAATACTGGGCCAACTACGGAAACGAAGATGCCTCCGTTCCCTGCTTCGACCTGGAGTGCCCCCCAGGCTACAACAACCCAGCCTTCCCCTCGTCCTCCTCCTTACCCAGCACCCCATCCCTCCTCCGCCTCCTCTCCCTCTCCGTAGTCACATTTTCCATCCATTTCCTTTTTGGCTGAACTCTTCTCTCCTCCTTTCCCTTTTTTCCCCTCTGATTTCTCTTTCCAACTCTAACAACAACCTGGATCGCGATTCCTTTCAGTTACCTCCTCGACTTGCAGGAGGTACTACACTGATGCAGCAGACAGACAGGCAGGCGAGGCAGCAGGGAGCTGTTGTAAAGAGCAGGGATCCATTGAGCTGATGTAGAGCAGGGCAGGATTTCAATGTTGAAGTAGCTGCTGCTGATTAGTACAGGCTTCAAAAAGCAGGGCTCAGATCATGGAAACTGACTCTGATAGTGACGGTACTAAGGCAGAAACCTACAACAACATGAGGAAATGACAGAGACACAACACACACAGAGACAGTTGGTGATGTCTCCAGAAGTTTTTTAATATCAGCTGTAAACAACGCAGGCGTTGTGGATCATCGACAGCCATTTTCTATATCAAGTGCACAACATCCACTCACCGCTTACGTTGTCCCTCAATAATTTCTGTCTTTCGCCGTGAATAAAAGGGATGGTTAATGATGCCAGAATGAGCTTAAGATATGCATCTAAAGGCGGAGAAGGATGAGAGTATCATTACAACTGCAGCCAAGAGCGGCTCTCCTCTCTCCTTCAGATTCAAAACCTTGTGGGATCCCAGAGATGCCAGCAAACCACCACCACCACCCACACTTGTACAATACCACGCATGATACAATCATCCTAAACTGCTCTGTACTTTAGACTAGCTGGATTTTTACTTTTCATGTTAATACCATTCAGTTAACGACAGCTTGTGGTGATAGAAGAGATACTTAGATTGTAAATGGAAGGCAAACCAATGAAAAGTGGAAACTCCTCTTTTTGCCCCTCGCTTTTTTTTGTCTCGTCTTCTTCTCTCAAGCAACCGACAAATGTTGTGCTCCTGGTTCTGAGTTTGTCTGTGTGTGGGATTCAGTTTTTGTTGACCAATAACCAAAGTCCTGAGAAGACCAGTTTGATCAGGTCTTCTCTTAAAATGCCTGTGAGTGTGTGCCTGTTTTTCCTTTGGAATTATGGCTCTTGTTTGTTTGTCCAAACTGACACAGAACAAGGCAAAAACAACATCAAGGCTGACTCATTTACAGTCCTTTGTGTTGTTTGATGCCTCGGGTATCTGTTCCTGCTAGCTCCTGTTACATTACACACTGACCTGTAATTCGTCTGTCAGTGTGCATATGTAAAAGGTTGCATGTATTTCCTCTCAGCTCGGATTGAAAGTTGAAAAAATCCCACAGATAAACTACTAGGACCCAGGGTTTGAAAACTGTTTCATTTCAGAAATGCATGGGAATGTGTCTGCTTTATCTGAACACATTTGGTAAATCGAAGGATTTCATCTGATTTTTGTATTGTATGGTACGAGAGACCATAAACAGACCACAAGGACAATCAAGCTGTCATACATCAAATCATCTCTTTCATATTAAAGCTGTATTTTATAAGATAACCTTTCTGACTTGAAGGATATTGTGACACTGATAGTCTGTATTTTTTAAAAACTTGTTGGGAAAGTGTTTTGCTTTACTAAAATAAATAAACAATCAAACAGAAGTATGTGGGGTGTTGCACTGTTGTTGTTTTTTTTACTGTCTTTGTTCGCTAAGGATGTCACAAAGGAATAGAAAGAATGTGCAAAAGTTAGTGAGCTGGCACATCAGCACAAACACAATGTATACAGATAACAATAGATAGTAGAAACCTGAAGTGATGATAGCCTAGCATCACAACATTTTGTTGAATCAGTAGCCTCCTGAAGAGAATTTGAGACAGGCAATATTTTACACTTTCACAATAAAAGCACAGTAAAATGAGAGAAGCATGAACATGAATATGGTCTGTAGAGCAGTCTTTCATTTTGACATGTGATAGCTTTGACGTCGTTCTTCAATTAAGTCAACAGTCTGGACTATTTCTTTCAGAGAGTCACGTCACGGTGCTCCTGTCAAAACTTTAGAAAAAGGGAGGTGATATTTGTAGCGTGTGTGTGTGTGTGTGTGCACAAGTATGGGAATGTGTAAGAAATCCAATGTGAAAATGTGGGTGTGTTTGGTGAAGGTCATCGGTCTCAACTGTGTTCACTCCTTGCCCCAGTCACTTTTCTCACCATGTGCAGAAGGCAGCTATATTGGGCCATATTATGATGAGCTGTCAAAGTGTGTTGTGTGTGTGTGTGTGTGTCTGTGTGTGTGTGTGTGTGTGTGTGTGTGTGTGTGTGTGTGTGTGTGTGTGTGTCTGTGTGTGTGTGTGTGCGGGTATGATTCTGGGAAGGGGCTGAATGGGGAACACGCCAGGATGACAATGTGACGATGTGTCCCAGCACACCCCCTCAACAGATTAACTCACGCCGTGATAATGATGCATACACTCATGTGTTGCATGAACTTATACGTGCAAATACACACTTACACAAGTTATAAAGTTCAGAGAAGTTTCACTCAGCGGCCCTCTAATCTTTTTCATCTTCAAGCTCACAAATCATTCATCACTTTCACACCTCTCTTTTCTTCTTCTTTTCTCTCCTTTATTTTTCTCCTCTCTGTGATGAAAGCTTCCTCGCTTCTCCCAGTCATTGGTCACAGCAGATAAATCCTCAAACCCAAATACATTATTGTCCTTAACAGCATCTTTCTTTCTGAACTTTTCATTTACTCAAATTTAACATGCACAGTTTGACCACGAAGAAGGTCAATTTAAATCTGAGGTTGTTAAATAACCAATTAATGTATGAACCAGTGTCATAGAGGTTTGGTTGGTTTATTGTCCTGTGATTTGCTGCAAAAGCAACAGCATTTAGCAATCTAGCAGTAAAAGTTGCAATTTGTTGATGTAACTAATATAGTCGACATGCTAGCTGCTCTGTTAGGCTACACTTAGGAAGAGTAGTGTTTGTAAGGTTCATTGTCAGCATGCTCTCTGTGTTCCTGTGGAGATACAAGCAAGGTATCATGCAGTAAATTCAATATTCTGTCAGTACAGTAGTGGATCTTGTAACCACAAAAAAAGTTGCAGAAACATCTCCAATGGCAAAAGATACCAAATTCCCATCAAGATACAAAATTGTAACAGTGCTGTGTTTCGATGAAACCATCTCTGTCCCCAACATACAACTATACACAGTTATCTCTCTTTTCATCCCAAAGACGGTAACAAGTTTACACTCAGGTGCTTGCCAGCCAGTATTACAATGTCAAACAAGCTCAATGGGGTTGAGCTTTTCTTTGACGTAAGGATGTTAGCGGTTTGAAGGATTAGTTTTGCGAAATCCGCTCGTGGCATAGAGTGAGATGAGACGATTGATACCACCGTAAAGTGAATAAGTATATTTCCTAAAATGTCAAACTTCTGCTTTAAGGATTCATTAAAACAAGAGCATGATTTCTGGCAGTCAAGGCTTCAAACAGCATGCGGGTTTAGACTTTTCATGGACATTATTTGTGAAATAGGAAACAAAAGAAATATCTTTACTGTTGTCCAGAATTGTCAAAGGACTCTGGTCGATTCAAGCTTTTGATGAACAGTTACATGCAGATTGTCACTAAGCTCAACTCTAAGAATCATAAATATTGAACAAAAATCAACCGTAAAACAGCTTTGGAGGCAGCTTTGAAGTTAAGTAAAAGGACATAATCATAATTCATAATGATAATGAATCATAATTTCACAGAAATGTGCAGAAGGCAGTAATGGACGACTGATATCTTATCCTGCCAGGGTTAACCACCTCGAGAAATGCACATCAAAAACTTGAATCGTGACCAACGTGCTTACACTTCCTGTATTTCCAAATTGCTATTTCATGGCAGAAGTGTAGGCGTTTGCTCTCTAGGCCTGTAAGCAGCTGCCTGGGTGGCCACGGGACATATTTGCAGTTTTTCCGGTGCAGGAACACAACCAGCCCATTAGCAGAGAGAATTCCTCTGAAGTCATCAGACTTTGATGATGAGCGCTTATCATACACTGTGCCCACTCATTCTCCCCCAACTCGCTATTCCATTTTTCTTGCCTCTGCCTTTCTTCCTCTCTTTTGTGTGTTTGCCTGCTTAATATGCTGTCACTCAGTCTTTGTCTGAAGCCCTATCACTCCAACACCTATATCCATCTCTGTCTTTCTTTCTCTCTCTGCCTCCCCCACATGGTTATGCTTGTCTTGGCCAAGCCTGTGTGTTGGCTCGTGTGAGTTGGCGTGATTGTTTGCGTGTCATTGGCGTGTTCGCTGACGTTCACCCTCACACATGTTCTTATTTGCATAGGAAGAACCGAGACTCACACCCTGACGTCAGAGGGCCATGGATGAAATGGATTATTCACCCGGGTTTCACCCTGAAACAATAGAACACAATACAAAGGTCGTCTTTTCTTGACATTAAAGAAGAGAATAGGTTTAAATTACCATGTGACAATGCAGTGTTACATCCATAATTGATGAAAATCATTTGCAGCACCGTTGCGCTCACCAGCTCACTTGTCCAGCGCGTGGAAACATGAGCCTCCGGAGCAGCGAGCCTCTGCTCCGGATAACTCACCAAACGGAAGAGGAAGGAAACGAGTGAAAACAGAGAGATGAGGAGACCCTCTGACTATCTGGATAAATCATCGAAACACTGACTATCCTCACTACAAAGGGCGACTTTGCCATGAGTTCACCGACTGAAAAAATAATATGCCCATTGCTTGTGTGTGTGTGTCACTGGATAAAATGCCACCAAATCATCAGTGTGAAGCAATATTTACCAAAACAATATTTACAAAAAGCCAAAAAGGAGACTTTTGAAGAATAAAATGAGGTTGCTTTTAACTTGTACTGTTTTATTTCATGCAACTGGTTTTGAAATGGTTTTCATGTGTGTATTTTAGGGGGGAAATATCTCTTTGGATATCAATGCATTGTATTTTCAAAGCTTTACATGCTTTTTTATTTCAAAGGTAAATCGGAAACTTAACTAGTACGTCCAACTGTCAGATATATGTAGTGCAGTAAAAAGTATATTTTCAACATATTTTATCATCAATCTAATGTAAATTCAATAGTTTATTAATTAACTAAAACTAGTTTTAGAACCCTTAAAATAAGACTTTCCAGCATTTATGGTTTGAGTTTTAAAACTCTCCAGACTATCTTGTTTGAAAAAGACAGACCCGATGGATACTTGCTGTTTCTTTTAACAAGATGTAAGCAGCATCACGTATCATCCTTGTACAAAGTGTTGTGGAAATGTATCATATGGTTCTTTTAGTTATAACTTGTATTGCTTAAACCTGCCTATACCACCCTAACCCTCTTCCCACGAAAAGGCTGGGAACCTGGCCTTTGTGGGTGCAGCGGCCAACATCTGCGAGGGAGAGGGTGAAGGGAGAGGAGACGAGATAACGCGCATATATACTCTGTTTTGTTTTTTATTGGGGTTAGACCTCCGAACCATTCGTGGGGAAAGAGCTCTATCCATTCAGCTGAATTTTGATTGAAGTGTCTGTTCATTAAATATGTTTTTAATACTTTAATACTTATACTTAATAAGAAGTTCCATCGTGATTATTTCTCACTGGGAGGTCAAAAAGATTTTTTTTTCCACCACACAAAGGAGCAGGGCCAGCATACTGTAAGCAAAGACCTGTGTGAACTGACTCTTCAAACTGAGGAAATGTAACTGCAGAGCCAATTTAACTGTAACATGTGTCAGTGTGACTAAACAGTTGCTCATTGAACTTAAAATATTCCGTTTATTGAACTTGTTCGATCGGCGAACTCAACTAAATTGTTTTTACATTACAATAATTCAGAATTATTTACGTTTGGTTTAGTTAACTCACATTCTTTTGGCAGCGGTTGAGCTCAAGTTTTTAATTAACCAATTAGCAATGTTTCACACTATGAAGTTACAAAATGCGTAACAGATTTCCAAGAACAATTGCAGGAGGGAGATTCACAATTCAACAATTAAACATCAGAATATATATATCAATTTACCAACTGAGTCCTAAAGATTCAGAAAATACGATGCTGTAGCTGAGAGGAGCAAACACACATGAAAAAAAATTGATTTCTGAATGAAATATGTGCTTTCTGTTGTGTCCCTACACCACAGTAATATGCGAGTGTTTGTGAGTGTGTGCACATTTGTGCAGCGTGGACGCAACCAGGAGCTCTGTGCATCCGGTCTTGAGTCATTTGGAAGAAAAAGAGGAGAGCGGGGTGAAGACAGGGCACATCTGTCCGACGGTCTGTTCGCTCTTGAAGCTTTACGCACACGGCTAAAATACACTGCAACAGACTGCAAAGACAGATTGGGATCCAAAGACATCAGAGATTTTCTGCGTCGTTGTGTCTGGTCTGTTTCAGAGAGAGTGAAACACTGAGTGATAGATTTAATCATATGGTAAGGACAGCAAGAATGAAAGTGACAGCACGGCCAAGATGAATTGTGGTTCTTCAGTTGGTTGCGAACAAAAGAACAGTTATTCTTTGAGCGCTTGTGAGTCAGTCACACCGCCTCGCTCTGGGAGGTTGTATAGCCCATGTTTGATGGCACGGACGCAGCTTGTGACGTCCTCTCAGACAATTTGGTTTTGAATGCCCAAAAATGTGACTGCCACATCCTCTACTGAAGACACGTGTATTCGGTATTGCTATTCCGGTAACACCATATTTGCTGTTGACTTTGGAGTATACAAACACATCCGTCTGTTGCTCTGCAGGGTTTTCTCTCACTTGTTTCTTTGCTGTCTCTCTGCCATCTCTCACAAGTCAACAATTGGGAATCTTGCAAACGATTAAAGGACATGGGAGCACAACCCTGCAATCATCTGTCCCACTGTTTGAAGAGGACATTACACAGATCTTCTGCTAGAATAGCCAGAAGGGGAACTTCATCTCAAAGTGTATCTAGCTTTTAGCTGGATGGGATGACGCAAATATGAGGGCCAAAAAGTCAGAGATCCAATCATACACCATCTGTTGATACACCATCTGTGTATCAAAAGAGTTGAATTTCAAATGTAAACTTGTTTAAAAATGTGTTACATTGTAGCATTTTATGTCATTGTCAAATCAATTGTGATACAATTGCTGTAAACAAAATAAAAGCCAGAAACAACTGCACTGATGGCCCTTGTGTCAAGCTGTCACATCATTCATCATCATCTGTCCTGGATCGGTAGAAAGGAGCTGTGGCAAATTCCTGAAGTTGTCAAAAACTGATGCTTTGTTTGAATGCGATTGATGAATTAGCTTAATGTTAAAGACAAAAACACAGTAAACTGTATGTATGTGTGTGTGTATGTTTCTATATGGAAAACCTAAACCTTCCTGGTAATGGTTTCGTCCGTCACACTGAAAACCCTGTCAGACAAATACTTTGGTACAGTCCACGTGCGCGCAAAAATTTGACAACTGCAATGGCGTCCAAAGCAGGTCGGTGTGTAACGTTAGAACAAATGTAACTCCGACATTTAGCAACATGATAGACATGTGGTGTGTATTGCTTTTAGTTGATAAACGGGTTAGAGGTTGCACGGCACGCGGTATGAAAATAAACGTAACATCACGTGTGTTTCAGGTCGACGTGGGACGAAACGCAAAGCGGAGGTTGAGGCAGAAGAGGAGAAACCATATGTGGGGGAGAAGGACAGAGGAGAGGAGGAGAGAGGCCAGGAAGGCCAAAGGGTGGTCATTGAACACTGGTGCAAACACTGAAATACTTAAAGGCATTTGTTGGTCGGCACGAAAGGAAAGACTAACGTCACCAGCACAGAAGTGCCTGTGCCATCTAAATCTCAAGGGCTCACACCCAGCATAATCCTTAAACATAAATGAGTAGCAGAGCTTTCCATTAGACCTAATGTATATATTTTCAATATAAGTAATGCATGAGTGTCTGAAGAGCGAAAAGGAATGGATATATGGTTGAAAGAGAGTTGTGAGTTTTGACCAAACCTACTGAAAACCCCAAAAAACCTGCAGTTCCAAGATCAGCTAGGCTTTTCTGGATTCGCATATGTACACATAGACAACCATAATTTCATAAAAGAAGAAGCAGCTCTGATGGACATGCATTGTAGACTTAATTTAATGCAATACAGTCTACACTGCAAGTGCTTCTTAAAGTTATTGTATTTTTTTTATTTCCCTCTAAAATGTAGTTGAATATAAGATAAAAAATTATAGCACTAAAGGACAGTTCTTAAGTAAATGTACATAGTTGTTTTGTCATATGCAGACACGCTCCACATTGCTAACTTCCACCTGATGGTTGATCTGTTATTTCTGGCAGTAAGAGCTGACGAGTGTACGGGCGTCATGCTGAGGAGGTGAAAGCTGCCCTCCTGGCTGCCCGTCCTGACCTGACTGTGGTCTTCAACCCTGAGAGACCGCGCAGGAAGAGCTTTGACATCACTCTGCTGGATGGAGGCAAAAGTGAGGAGGATGAAAAGGGAAAATCCAAGAATAACTGCCATTTTTGACTCCCCAATGGATGAGCAAGTGTCATTACCTCAGTTTTGGGATTTACTCATTTGTAGTGGTTTGTTAAAGGTTTAGTTCACCAAAATTACAAACCAGAAATAACCAGATTTAAATCAAACACATTTGCTCCAACCGTTCATTAAAGCCATTCCACAAAATTTCCTTTCATCAGTATAATAGATTTCGTATTAGTTGTAAATCTAAGTTGTCAACTAAGGATGTGAAGAAAGTATAATCTTACCCAATCTTTCCCTCGGAGTGAATGTCTCTTCTGCCTCATTAAAGCCCGTTCACACAGTCAGCAGGAGGCTGTGTTCAACAGGCGTGCAGAAAAGCCACCAGAGGATAAAATTTAATATGTAAAATAGTTTTTCTCCAAATTTATGGATTATTCACTGTTTGGTTTTGAGTATCAGAGTCGACACATCTTAAAGTCTTCTAGAGGCCGCTGTTATACATTAAAAGTATTGCTTATCTTCTAAATTGTTCGTACAAATGACACTGTGTCCTTGTGTTCCTATAGAAACATCTCTGTGGACTGGAATAAATAAGGGTCCGCCTGCTAGGCTCAAGTTTCCTCAACCTGATGTCATAGTTGCTGCTCTGCAGGAGGCTCTGAAGGCTGAGTAGACGCCCATGTGAAGGTTTGTCCTTTCAAAGCAAACAGACAGAATAATACAAAGCAGAAAACTCTCGATACAAATATTAATGAAGGAGTGCACTGTCACACTAAATAGTTCTTCTTGTTCTGCTGTAATACATAGAGAAGCAAAGTCAAATGATAGCTGTGAACTGTAAGGTAAATGGAGTTAGATGTTACATGAGGGAACCAAACATGGGTTTAACATGCACGTATACATACACGTGTATTATCTGTGAAAAACACGTGTTTGAAATGTTACAGTCCACAAAGTTATTTCGTTGCTTTTTAGTTGTCACCATATTCTTGACAGCTTAGCTTGTGGATAAGAATTAACCTTTTAAATGTTTTTTTGAAACCGTTGCAATTTCTCTTCCCTTTGAAATTGTCTCCACTAATTCATAGAACGTGCATTAACCAAACTGTATACAAATGTGTTTATTCAATGTTTAACCTTCTACCGTTAGATTAGTTTGGCTCAAAAGACATTTACTTATTGGTCGTTAGTTGTTTTTACCAGCATCTCTGAAGATACTTTTTAAGCCTTTAATGCTGTTGAATATTTTTTGGGATGCAATGTTCCCTTATGTAAATTTCCCCAGAGCCATGTGTCACAGCCTGAACTTGGATTGCCTTTCGTGTCTTCACATTTCATGAATCACCAGCCGAGAGCAAAGTAACTGCTTGTTAGTCGAGCTCATGACACAACCTTCAGTCATTATCGCTAATCCGTAAACATCGACTTCAGTGTCCTCCATGTTTGCTTTTGCACAGCAGTGTGCTGTGTGTGATGTATTATTGTTTTTGTTCATTTCTTCACATGTGGATTAATGTTTTAATAACCTAATTAATTTTATTAAATGTACTGCTTTATACAATCTTATTCCTGTGTTCTATACAAGTGTCTATACTGCTACTGGTTGAGCGTAGGCTGTAGTACACAACAGTGGTGTGTTAAGAATGTTTATATTTCAGAGTTAAACTAAAGAAATGATTTGTCTTGCATGCAGCCAAGAGTTCAGGAGATGTGGTCCATGGAAGCAGAATGATGAGGAGTGACCAATGGGATGTCCCCGTCTCTCCTCTGATGATGTGAGCTCCAACAGCTCACGTCTCCCGGACGCATGGTGACACCTAGTGGAGCGTCTCTGAACCACTACATTTATCAGATGCACAGTGCTGCTGTTTAAGACAACAGAACAAAAAAACAACCTCATTTATAGTTTATTGTGCTTTTAAAGCTTGTTTTTAGTAAATAAAGTCTTGTTTCTCAATTATTGTGTAAGTGTAGGTATGTTTCTTTTCTCTTTTTTCACTCTAGTCAAGCAGTTATTTTTATCTGGGAAGGTTTTTATCTCACAAAAACATCCCAACGAAATGTTGTTTCTAGACAGGTCAGAGGTGGGAAGTAACACAAGTATATTTACTCAAGTACTGTGCTTAAGTACAATATTATGGTATTGGTCATTGAGTAATTCCTTTTCTGATTGACTACATTTCACAGGAAAATGTACTTTTTACTCCACTAAATGTATTTATCCGCTGTAGTTACTTTACAAATGGAGCAAACAGTTTGGACAGCATGTTTATGAAGAGTTTGACCATAAAACTGAAAAAAAGGTTACAACTTCTCAAATGTGAAGATAATCCTTCAAATGTATTTCTTAAAAGTGAATTTCTCTGTTGAAATTCACTTTTTTGAGAAGCATCAAGATAACATAACAAATTTAAGTGTCTCTTTTTAAAAAAAAAAAAAACAAGTTTTAGGTTTTAAATCTACATCGAACAACAAAATCTTCATTTAAGATTTATTTCCAGCGATTTGCGCGAGCCACCAGAGGACGTTGAACATTATTGGTTGAGAGGGACGTGACGTCATCATCACGCGCCCAACCACAGTGTTGGTTCCTCAAGAGTTGGGAACCTATTTTTCAAACTACAATAAGCTTGAATTTAGTCCGTAAGTACTACAGACTAAAATAACTAACCAGTAGACATGCACCTGGCAATGTGGGAGTAGGTTAATGGCATTCCAGGCGCTTACAGGCTATTTACTGCTAAAATATGGCGATGTTACGGCTACGGTGTGCTAACTGCTAGCTAGCTGTTTTTTGCCTGCAAGTGACCCACGAGCTAAACTGCTTTCTCTCAGTGCTCACACTTTGACTGTCGGTCTGATTAAGTAAAAAATTACATTGCAAATGACATATTACATCATCCCCCATTTTTCAATAACTAAATGCTAGCACGTCTGTTTATAGCTCCAGTTTGTCCTGCATACATTACATTATTAGCGATAGCCACAAACTGGGTCTAACGTTACTCCTTTTCATACCTCTCAGGTAGTGTTTTATCTTTCTGTATGTGGATATAGTTAATAAACTGTTTATGTGACGCTTAACTACACCATGCTGGCATTTTGGCTTGGTCTCTTATGTAACGTTAACGGAGCTGCTGTGTCGAAAGACTTCCTGGTTAAATCAACTTTTTATCTCAGCATTTCACAAAAGTTTGTCAATATTAACATTTTATAGCGTCAATGAATATATGAAGTATAAATGTATTGATACAAAATGAAAATGGTCTTTAAAAGTATGGCAGTGTTGGAGACATTGTGATAAATTGTCCTTTTACATCATTGTCCTTTTCTTTTCAACTAGACGTTATTTCCAGGTGTTTGTAACATGGACTCTCTCTTGTCAGTCATGGCAACAGAGGGTGTGGAGACCATTAGTGAAGATGTTGCAGTACCTGGGAAGGTCAGCACCAGGTTTGACCTGGAGAAGGAGACTGAACTTAGGTTTGAGGTAGAGGCAGGGGACACCGCAGAGCAGGTTGACCTGGAGCTCCTTACAGGAATGGCTGAGGTGTTCGGCTCCGAGCTGAACCGCAACAAGAAGTACACATTTGGACCGGGCTCCAAGATCGCCGTTTTCACCTGGCAAGGCTGCAGTGTGAATCTTTATGGGAAGCCAGAGGTGAGTACCCGGAGGCGTGTCCATGCAAATGTGTGAGAGTGTCTAATGTGGGTTCTATGAGCTGATCAAATAACCAGTGTCTACCCCTCATCACCACAGGTGGCTTATGTGTCCAAGGACACTCCTATGCTGCTCTACCTGAACACACACGCTGCCCTGGAACAGATGAGGAAACAAGCAGAGCGGGACAACGAGAGGGGGCCGAGGGTAGGTTTGAATAAAACACTACTGTTTTCAGAGGTCTTTCTATGCAAGGTTGCCAGATCTCAGTAAATGCATTTCAATTGACCGTGTATAATGAATTATCCTGCAGGTGATGGTGGTGGGACCTACAGATGTGGGAAAGTCAACAGTGTGTCGCCTGCTGTTAAGCTATGCTGTAAGGGTGGGCCGGAGGCCAACATTGGTGGAACTGGATGTTGGACAGAGTGGGGTGAGATGAATTGGAGTTATCATAATAAACATCAGCACAGACTACCGATATTAAAGGAATAACACCGGCTACCATTTTAATTATTTCGCTTCATGTCACACAGACTTATCATCTTGAATGCAAAGTGTAACTACAGCATCTGTGTAGGATAGATAAGATGCACATGTGTAGGAGCACAGCATGCCCCTATGGCTGGTTCTGTCAATCACATGCACAATAAGTTCTGGAAAACTAATATTTTGAGTTTCCAAGTGTACTCTGTTTCTATGACAGTAAAGACGAGGAGAAGTGTTGTATTTCTAGCACAAGATGGACTAAGAGTGACGTACTGCTTGGGATGTTCATAATCATTTACTCCATCTGGAAGTGTTGAAATATGTCAGCTTGAGTGCCATCTGTCCATCAAATGAATGGCATTCAGAGTAGTTATTCATGCCACAGTTTGTCATATACCATCAAGGGTTGACATTTACTTTATGCATCCATAAAATCAGGATCAACCAGCGATCTCAAATCTATTTTTTTAATGTGCCAGAGCCGACTCAAATCTTATCCTGTCATTTTAATTCTGCTCCTCAGGTGTCTGTACCTGGTACAGTGTCGGCACTATGCATTGAGCGCCCGGCGGACGTGGAGGAGGGTTTCTCAGTCCAGGCTCCGTTGGTCTACCACTTTGGCTCTACTACCCCTGGGACTAATATCAAACTTTACAATAAGGTGAGAAAAAAAGATTATGGCAACACTTAACATGACAGTATGAAGCCAAACGCCCACTGCCAGCCTGCAGATTTAATCTGCCTTATCATCAGTTTTAAAAATGTTCTCTGCCCAATTTAATCGGTTCTTTTCTCACAACTTGTAGCTGACATCATGCTTAGCCAACGTGTTTTCCCGGCGCTGTGAGGTGAACAGGAAGGCTAGCGTGGGAGGCTGTATCATCAACACCTGCGGCTGGGTGAAGGGCTCAGGATACCAGGCTCTAGTCCACTGTGCTTCTGCCTTCGAGGTGGATGTGGTGCTAGTGCTGGACCACGAGAGGCTCTACAATGAACTAAAACGAGACCTCCCTCACTTTGTACGGGTTGTTCTCCTACCTAAGTCCGGAGGGGTGGTGGAGCGCTCCAAGGAGTGCAGGCGGGATACTCGCGATGAGAAGATCCGCGAGTATTTCTACGGCTTCCGTGGAGTGACCTTCTACCCCTTCTCCTACGAAGTGCGTTTCTCAGACGTCCGGATCTACAAGATCGGAGCACCGTCCATCCCGGACTCCTGCTTGCCACTGGGAATGTCTCAGGATGACACGCAGCTAAAGCTCGTGCCTGTTACACCAGGGAGAGATCTCACGTATCATGTGCTGAGCGTGAGCAGTGCAGAGGACGGAGATGAAGGTGCCAGAAAGGGTATCGTAGAGAGCCCTGTGTGTGGCTTCATAGTGGTGACTAATGTGGACACGCAAACACAGGTGATGAAAGTGCTGTCCCCAGCGCCCAGACCACTGCCCAGACACACTCTACTTATCATGGACATCCGCTTTATGGACATGAAATGAAGTGTTACACTTAAGGAAAGAGAACTTTGTTGTAAAAGAAGTGGAGAGGAGTTCTGTAAAGAAGACGTTTTGTTTCCTAGTTGTGTCTCTTTGTAGGGGCTAAAGAGGGCAAAAGAGAAAAAGTTTCAGTACAGTTGCTGTAAATTAAACACCATTTTATAGACCACACTGTTTGGCCAATTTGTGGCCAGGGATGTTTTTTATCAGTGCAGGAATTGTTTTCTTGATAATAAGTTTTATGAACATTGTTTTTCTTCTCTTGCGTAATAAATTTTGGAAATGTAAAACATTCGGTGTCAGATATACTAAGTTTAATGGTCGCACATTGTCCTGTCCTACATATGCACAATATATGTATATCAGTTCACATTTATTTTCATTTTTATATGCCCGGTATTTAATGGACTAGTTATGAAAACATTTGTGTGTTTTTACTTAATTACAACTTAATCAAGTCTGGGAAAAGTCTTTTAATTCCATGGCTTCACATTAGGTTCTACTAAATATTTCTACAAAGCCTCATCGAACAAAGCAAACGCATTATGAATGTGTCCGTGAAGTGGGAGACGTGTCCGGTCTTCTCTGTTGTATACATCCTGTGGTGTCCATGTCTATTTGGACATAAGTGGAACTGATGTATAGTACCAGTAAGGCAGTAAACATGAAGGACCACTATGATTTGTTTATACTGTCCACACCTGCCAGCTCACTGGAGCTCATCAAATATTCCACAGGCCTACATGCTGTAGTATTTAAGTTGGACACTTATTTCTTAACAGACAGTAACAATATCTCAAATTGAAAGAACAGACTTTGTGATGCCCAGACAGATGCTTAATTACTTTATGTCCTGATTTTCATATTTAGCATGTTCTTAACCGTTTAGTGTCTGTGCTATTGTTCTGAACATTGGCGTTAATATGCCGGATTGTGGCTTTGTTGTAGGTGGGCCTGTTATGGAGGATTTGAGTCGACCATCTGTGGTCCCCAGATGCTTTTGTTAGGTGGCTTCTTCTTGACGTATGGATTGTAACATGTGCATGTGGCTTGGACTAAAGCTGAATAAATGTAAAATGATCCGGTATTTCAAAACACAAAAGAAAAGACTAAATATTCTTGACTTGGGCACGGAAGTTTGATGGAATCATCTGGCTGTAACGTTTCCAGTATTACAACCCACAACAAAGACATCCGACTCTTTGAGTTTCTGAAGTAAAACGTCAGAGATGTCTCTTCATAAGTCGGCAGAGTGGGGACGTTAATGAAGTGCTCTTCTTCGTTGTTGCATAATGAGCAACTTGAGGAAATGTTACATTTAAATGCATTGCAAAAATACTATTTGTGTGTAACATTAAGATGTTTGCCAGTCATTTCAGAGGAAGCCGTTTCATTATGTGGTAATAAAGCTGTGTGGGCGGTCAAAGCAATCCGACAGCGAACCAATCCTGTCAGTCATGGTTGGTTCAACTGTTTCTCCAGACCACACCTGCTCGGCCTCTGATTGGCTGTTCATCCCACCTGAGGGACGACGGGCGACTTCCGGGATTCCGATGTCGGCCTAGCAAGCGAGCTAACTAGTTTGCTAGCGGCTAACTCAAGGAGGACCGTAACGACCCACACCCTACAGGCAAGACAGCTCGCATGTTCTGTGTTAGGTATGTCCTGCTTGTTTTACCCGCTCTTTGTGGTGACTATTTAGCCGAACGTACGTTCATTTATCCGGCCAGCCGTCAAGGAAAGCTACTCCGCGAGTGTAAAGCTCCCCATACTAGCCAGCCAGGTAACGTTAGCTAACTCTTCGCTGTGGTAAAGGACTGAGCAGTGTCGCAAAAAACTTTCGAGGCTAGGTAAGAGCTAACTGATCACTAAGTATAGGTCGCGTTTAAATCTGTCATAATCTCAATGAACGTTTAACACAACGAGCCAAAACACCGCATCGTCTATTACTTAACTTAGTTGAAGAAAGTGAGGTGTAACGTTATTTTAATGAGGTTCATTGTTAGTTGTCTTGGCTGATACTAGCACTGCCCTGGCCTGTTGTTTCACGCTCGGTCTCCTTCAATTTATGATCCAAAGATGAAGTGATACTCAATTAAATTACATACAATCAAACAAGACATTAGCTAGAAACTAATAGTGTGTAACTGCTGCTGGGGAAATAGATCAAATTCATTGCTAGACCGGTCATTCAACGATGTTGCTCGGATCTGCAGATGGTTGTGGTGACATGACAGGCTCGACACAGGAGATTTTAGGATTATCATCCGTTATTGTCGAGAGGGAGTGGGGTGGGTGTTGTTTGGCAGGTGAGATGATTAACTGCTGCACCACCACCACGGCTCTGGTGATTGTCGAAAAGAGGGGTGTGTCTAAACTATCGGGTTACTCCGGATCCGTTTTCAGTGTCTTCTCACCGCACGCACTACTTTTTCATTTGGAGATGAGGTGTGTGTGTGTGTGGGGGTGTGGGGGTGTGTGGTGTTTTGACTTTCCAGAAGTGGGAGGTGTTTCATTTGAAATCCTGAGGGCATTGATGTGACAGTTGTGATTGAACAACAGCACACTGTTGAGCAACTTTGTTTATGAGCAACGTTAACGGTGAGAAATGAACAGGTTTGCACTGTAACACAAGCTTTTTAGGACAGTAAAGAATTTATTAGCCGACCTATGTTATGAAATCAGAGTGAAACCTCTGCTTCTCTTCGATACCTCTGTTCAACAAGGAACTTTACCGTTGACAGTCAAGCTTAAACGTGTCAATTTCTTTACAGGGGCATCCGACAGCTGACCCACAGAGCCAGTGGGTAAAAGAAGACAAAGAAGTAAAATGCATCAGACTACATAACATCACTGCTGCACATGGCTTTGTTTAGGAGATGCAACATGGGAAAGGAGGTCTATCTGCAGAGAGTTTGGAGGTGGGAGAGGCCTCTACACCCAGACCCGGCCAAGTGTGGCGACAGCTCGATGACGTACACAGGGCTTCTTTTTGGATTGAGTTGATTTTGTCCCCATATTGAAGCAAAGACTGAAAGCGGGGGGTCTCACAAGAACCAGAGGACTCTGATTGGCTGTTTGAGGCTGGACATCATTTTGTAAACCGTGTTTTTTTTTTTTTTTTTTTTTTTTTTTCTCTCTCATCGGCTTTTTGAAAATTAATTCCAGCTGGACTTTTGTTTGATGCAGCTTCCAGCAACTAGTTCAAATTAGTTTTAGTTGGTTTCCCCCTGCTGACATAGTTTGAAACGCTGGAACTGTCCCTTCTTCTGCCGCCATCCTCCATTTCTTCCACCCACCCAGTGCCTAAATACGCCCTCTCGGGACAATCACAGAAGTCATCAGCAGCTGCTGCGCTCAATCCTCTGCCTCTTCTCCTCTATGTGCTTCTGCTCTCGGCCTGCTGGCCATCCACCCACTACCTCTTTCATTTTCTGCTCTTTTTGTTTTTATATTCATTTCCTCTGATAGGCATAATCAGAACTCGAGCACAGTGGCGAGCATTAATGCAAAACACTGAGTTTTAAGGAGCGGAGAGAAACCCAGATTCCTCTCGCTTTAGTCGTGTGCGAGTCTCTGTGCTTTAGCGTTGGAGCACACAAGTGTTACGGTTGCACTGGTGCCAGGGAGCAGTTACAATTCGATTTATTTATATTGTTGCACCAAATACAGTTAGATTAAAGCCATACAAAAATATTTATGAATTACCGACACACATATTTTTGTATCACCTTGCTCTTGTAAAGTCTTGCTTTTATAAACCTCTTAAGATTATGCACACAACTTAAATAACATTACAACAAGCTGTACACATGCAATGCTAAAGTAAAGCTGTTTACTGCTGTATGAAAGTACTGATTATCTTAGTGCCAGGAGACCTTTAGTGTGACGGGACACAGAGAAACCCTCATGTTTCCATTCAGCTGCTGCTTTGCATAGTGTTTTCTTTTTTCTAGTCTGTAGTCATGGTCCCTCCTCCCGAACAAACCCCACATTCGCCATTTTGACCTGTAAAGCGCCGTTTACAGTAGGTAGACCGTAGATAGATAGATCCCTCCCTCTCTCTCTGTCTTCCTCCCCTCTCTCTCTGTCTCTGATGCCGGGCTTCAGTGGTGGGGGGGTTGGGGGAGGAGTAGGTGTCCCTGCTTCTGCTCCTCCCCGTCCATTTCGCCCCAGCCGATATGTCCCGGTGTCTGCAGCCACCACTTTCCTTGTCGGATCCACCACCCTCTTCTTCTGCTTCACGTAAGTATCTCACTCATATTGAAACTCCCACATAATGCAAACAGGGCCAAATGTACACACAGTTGTGTCGCTGCCTAACTAATCAAGTTTGCATGTATTTGTGTATGCTAAAGGCGTGTGTAAATATCCCTATACGTTATGTTTTATATGAAGACGTCCCATTGTTTTTGTTGTTTGTTTAACCTTTATACAGAGAGAGTTTACTGTGCAAACCTGTCCTCTTATCAGCAAGTATTCACACAGTTCCTCGCAATCATACCTGTGAGCTGAGGAGTGTTTCTTGCTCATTTTTCCCATCTGTGTATTGCAGCAAGTGCAGGGATTGGAGCCTGCTCTTGAACATGTGTAGTAGACTAGTAGTTATGGCCATAACATGTCAAACTGTCATTTTATTCTATCCTTGTTCATGCTCTCCAGGTGTCCATGGTTGTCAGAGTATTTCTCCTTTGTCATTCCCGTCTACATTGCCGTGATCTTCCTCTTCACCCTCGCCAACTTCTGTATGGCCACTTTCATGGACCCTGGAGTCTTCCCCAGAGGTAAACTCAGTGTTTTTTCCTGAGAAAGTTGATTATCACATACTAACATATACAATTGAGTGCATGACAGATAAGCTAAGAATGAAAAGAATCACCAATAATGCCACGATCCGTTAGAAATTGACTGAAATGTTCAAACAGAATGCAGGGAGGCCGTAGGATCCAGTACAATGATGTTGGTACAGTCTCAGTGTGTGTGTCTGTCGTGTTTAGCGGAGGAGGATGAGGACAAAGAAGATGATTTCCGTGCCCCGCTCTACAAGACGGTGGAGATCAAAGGGATCCAGGTGCGCATGAAGTGGTGCTCGACCTGCCGCTTCTACCGTCCGCCGCGCTGCTCGCACTGCTCAGTCTGCGACAACTGTGTGGAGGTACACGCGCGCACTCTGTGTTACGGGCTGGTATTGTGAGGCCTAATTAGAAATTGATATATTCCGTGAGAGGTAGAACTTGTTTGATTTTGATGTGTTGTAACTGTTCCTTGTCACAGTTATTCTCCTCTCTCTCGTATCTTTACTGGTGTTTGCACATTATTGTCCTTTGTGCTCTGTCAGGATTTCGACCACCACTGTCCGTGGGTGAACAACTGCATTGGTCGGAGGAATTATCGCCATTTCTTCCTCTTCTTGCTTTCACTTACCACCCACATCATGAACGTATTTGGCTTTGGCTTGGTTTACGTGCTGCACCACCGCCAGCAGCTGGACACGCCACATGCTGCGGTTACGTATCCTTTACTTGGCACGCATTTTGTTGGCGCAGTGATTTTTAGCCTGGTATTTGTGTTGTTTTTCCTTTGCTGGGTTTGTTGTAACCTCCTTGACCCTCCCCTCCCAGTATGGCTGTAATGTGTGTGTCCGGCCTGTTTTTTGTCCCGGTCGCTGGCCTGACTGGGTTCCACATGGTGTTGGTGGCCCGCGGTAGGACCACAAACGAACAGGTACAAACAAGAGCTGGTTGTGTGCGTCACTGAATAATCCAGACACTTCAGATTGTGTTTTTAGCATTAATGGTGTGAGCTGGAACATTTTCCTCTCATTGTAGGTCACAGGGAAGTTTCGGGGAGGCGTTAACCCTTTCACCAACGGCTGCACGAGGAATATTTCTCATGTGCTCTGCAGCTCCCAGGCCCCCAGGTCAGCCTTCCTCTCTCCTCTGCACTCATCTCTCCTTTCACACTCAGCTCCACAATTGTTCTTTTTCCACTGCCCTTTCTTTCCATTGCTCTCTCTCTCTCTCTCTCTTTCCACTTTTCCAGCGTCCTCTTTTATTGTTCTCACTTCAGAATCAGAATCAGCTTTATTGGCCATGTATGCTTACGCATACATGGAATTTGTCTCCGGTTTCCACTCCGCTCTCAATGTACAAACACAAATTTACAATAAACAAGACAATATATATATATAAAGAATAAAAAAGAGCAGCAAAAAAGTAGAACGGATGTAGGTATAGACATTTAGCTATATACAATATAAATATATACTCAAGAGAAAAAGTGTGTGTGTGTGTGTGCGTGTGCGTGTGCGTGTGTGTATATATATACACACACACACACACACACACACACACTCTTGTCTGTTTAGTGATGGAATATATGAGCGCAAGCCTTCAGTGCGAGTGGTTTCTTGTGTTAGATCATGCTTGTCAAGAGAGCAACATACTGCCAAGCCTGTTTAATCCTTGTGTCATTTTAATGTGTGTGTATGTACCCCTCACAGATACATGGGCCGGCGGCGAAGCCCTCAGGCAATGGATGTACAGCCACCATTTCTTCGACCGCCTCTCACTGAGGCCCAGCTAGAAGCCAAGGTCCTGGACAACGGCATCCAGAATGACCGACACAGCACCAGGGTGAGGGATACAAAGCAATCAATGAATTTAACATATTGGCCCACCCCCCCCCAAAGATCCAAAGAAGTGTGCGGGATTCTTTGGTTTAAATACTGAAAGTCGAGGAGCAACACAGAAACGGGTAAACCCTACCTCATCTGGATAATGAAGCACATGTGTTGGAGGGTGTTCAGACTAAAAATAGTTCAGTGAGTTTGAACTTTTATCAGATGCTAAAACGTTGAACAACGGTTCATGAAACAGGACATCATGCCTCCAAGAAGTTGTTATGGCATCAACAATTCCACCCTCTGTAGCAACAATCTCAAGGTTAACGATAGAAGTACAACAGTCGAGTTACAAAGTAATATTCATGCGATGTGCGTGCAATGCGGTGTTGCAGCAAACACCGAGTTAAACTTCTTTACTGGACACGGCCTGATACTGTGTGTCTCTGTGTGTCCGCTCCAGTCCAAGAGTAGTCTAGACCAGATGGAGAGCCAGTCAGCTGATGCAGAGCCTCCACCTCCTCCAAAGCCAGAGCTTCGGTACCCTGGCCTGCCCCGTGCTGACACGGAGGGTGAGACAAACGCACTCTTACACAACACATACGTGAACCTCTGTAGTAACGGGTATATCACCTGACGTGTCAACATCTTGAGTGATGACCATCGAGTGCAGCACAGGTACTTCAAGTGCTTTACCTGAACAGTTGAATGTTTGTTTTGTAATCGCAAACACGCCTCTTTCAAATGTCCTTTTGGTTTCTCGCCACTCAGAGAGCAGCCTGTTGACTGAAACTCCACCTACGCCGTCGATGTATAAGTACCGACCACCTTACAACAGCCCAGGAAGGAACCACACGGCCCTCACACACCCCAACAAGGTACATGTCGATACACACTTGCACAGACCTCCATGTATTGGGTATAATCTATTCACCTAAAGTTATTCAGTACTGTATATTAAGAGTATTAAAAGAACACAGGATCAGCTTCGACACAACCGTGTTGGTTTTACATAGCGACCTTGTTTTAGCATCTGTAAAAGATATGGGATGTGGTTAATCTTATTAGAATACTCAGAACAAACAATATCCGATTACTGTAACAGATGATCTGGTGGCTAATTTCTTTTGTGGTTAATACCATGCCCCTCTTTTTTTTGTTTTTTACTTTGAATTGATCATTCAGTGGCCATCGGTCGATCAGTAAGTCTCAGCTGGTGTCATCTGTGTGTATCCCTTTGTGTTTGAGTGGATCTATCCTTTCCCCTCGGACTGCATTGACTGGAATGTGTAGTTCATGTACTGTATGTATTTGTATATTTCCATCCATGTGTTGATACACACAGTCTTTGACATGCAGTGTCAGTGCTTGTTCAAGCCAGTCAATGTTTCCAATCCAGTAGTGTGATGATGGAGTAGAGCACTGGTCAAGCATCCAATTTCTCCCCACCACTCTTTTTTTTTTTCTGTTATGTTTTTGTAGTAAAATGGTTATTTTTTTGGTGTTATGTTATCTATTCCTCAACTAACATGGGGATTTTCTTCTCCCCCCCCCCCCCCCCCCCCCTTTGCTCCTGCCATCATCTTCATCACGCTCCCCCTCTCTCTCTCTTTTGTCTGTTTCTCCTCTTCCTCAGATGATCCGTGGGGAGAGCCTCAACTCTCCATCTCCCTCCATCCTCCAGTCCAGCCGTCAGCTTAGCTACCGTTCGGAGCCGAGCAGCCTGGACGGGACCGCGGTGGTGGGGGGAGGTGTAGGGGCGCGCAGAGGGGGAGGGGAGAGGGGCGAGGGCCCCGGAGGCCCCGGCGGGACTGCCGGAGTGATGCCAGGGGGCATGTCAGGTTACTCCCTGACTGGGCGCTCCTACACCTCCTACCCATCCTCTCTGGTTCTGTCCACTGGCGGCTCTCACTCCTCCAGCTTGCGCTCAGCGCAGGCGGCCCATAACCCGCTGGCCACGCTCCAATCAGAGGGCACCACAGACACCAGCTACAAAAGCTTGGCCAATCAAACGCCTCGGAATGGCAGCCTGTCCTACGACAGCCTTCTGACACCATCCGAGAGCCCGGAGTTCGAGTCGGCCGCTCACGAGCTGTCGCCGCAGAAGCCTCGCGCTCAGTTTCCCTCAGCGACTGCAACAGGCCAGCGGGAGGTGGTGTCACCCAGCAGCCTGCTGCAGGGCTACACGTCGCCCTTCCTCTCGGCTCAGATCGCCCAGCAGAGGGAGGGGCAGCTGTTCCAGGGCTCTGCCACTTTCTCCTCCCCCCACAGGGCCTACCTGCGTGCCGTCAGTCCGCCCCCTCCCTCCTCTGGGCCTCCCGAGATCCAGCACCTGCTCCAGCATAACCAGGACTACTCCTCCTCCCGAGCCCCTCGTAACCTTTCCTCCGCATCCTCTTCCCCCCGGGCTCGCTCACTAGAGCACCCCGTCTCCCCGCCACCTCGCGGCCTCTCCCTCGGCAAGTCCCAGGCTTATGTTGGGGAGGCAGGGCCTCAGCACAAGCCTCGGGCTTCAGGAGGAGGCATTGTGCTGGGAGGGGGAGGAGCCGGAGGAGGGCAACAGGCTCCACAGTGAGTAGTGATCCGTCGCCAGATCCGCCAGCCTGCTTCTCTTCCTTTTCCTCCTAATTCTCTTCTTCTTCCTCCCTGGTTTGTGTCAGCCCTCCTCTTCCTCCCTGATCTGTGTGAGTCTTCCTTTTCCTCCTCCAAGGTTTACAGTCAGTCTTTGCTTGTTTAGCGTTTAACAGTTGTTGTGTATGAAAGTGTTATTGGGTGAGTTGGTGGACTGTGTGACTGAAGTGCTAACAGCATGTCAGTATGTGTTTAGCTCTGTGAAAGCATGCCTCACCACGGTGCTGTTTACTCCTGACCTCTGGCCTTTTCTTACTCAATAAGTATAGTTACCAAATGCCTTACAAGTTCCATGGTAGAGAAACATTTGTGCTTGTTTGCTGTTATTTTTGAAGTAGAACCACTCACCTCCACATCCATGTATCCTCTGTCCTCACTCCTAATCTGCCTCCCCTTCCCTCCCCTTCCTGATGGCTGTCCAATCAGATCCACCTCTCGTCCGGTCTTGGCCAATCACACACCATCCAAACCAGGGGGCGGAGTGAAGAAGGTGACAGGCGTTGGAGGGACCACTTACGAGATATCGGTTTGAGTGACCGTCATGGTCCATCACAAAGAGGAGGGGGCGGGTCATAGGACTACTTCCACTTGTCTCTCACCTGAGCTGGACGTTATCCACTGTAGGCTCCTGAGAAATGACTGTTTTTCCGCTGCAAAGGACTAAAGGAGCCTGTCTGGTACTCACTTTGTTATATTTGTAACGCCACTGGCAGATTTGAACAAAGAGTAAAAGGGGACACTGCATTTTTCGGCGGATCAAGTCGTCTCCCTTTAGCCACTTTGTGAGCCACAGACGGACGTGACTGTATCATCATGGCTGGGTACAGATATGTCTACAGAACACCCAGAGCGATTCAATGATTGGCTGTTTCATTTGGTCCGTTAGCACACAGAGTATTGCCCGCCGTGTCCGACACTTGAGGAAAGGATGGCCTTTATCCGGCGAACGGACCACACAACCCATTTATCGACAAGAGTCCAACCTATAAACACAGTATCATTTTAGTTTTCTAAATCTTTTTTTAAAAATATTGTTTTATATAAATGTATAAAATCTTACAGATTATTATTGGGTCAACTTGTCAGGCATGGACTATGGATAAGGGTGACAGACAGTACTGCGTGTAATTATTCATGAAAGCGATCTCGGATCAGTTGCCTGTTTTTATTTTAATGGCTGCATCAGCCCACTCATGAGCTCTTGCTGGAATCTTTCATCGTCCAAAGAGAATGATGATCGTTTTGGTGAACAGCCCGAAGTGGCAAATAATTGAGTTTGATTTTTCTGAAAGCCACAAAGAAATTCAGAATCACGATTGCAGCACAAGTATCTTTGTGGAATGTACGCTTGTAATCTTTATGCTAGAGACATTATGCAAAATCTGTTAGTAGCTTTAAGATCATTATATGTCCCTTTTTCTGTAATATTTTGTCCATCGAGATGCTAGTAGAACCTGAAACCTTTAACGGGTGGCCAGCCAAATGGGGGCAGCGAGGGAAGGGCTTATTTATTTTACCACACAAGACAACCTTGTAGTTTTGGGCACAATTTCAAACCAGTCTCTGCCAGTTTGTCCTTTTCTTTTTTTTGAGAAAAGAAGAGTAAGTATGAATATTTTTTATGACAAAGACTTTATAAATGAAATTGTAAATGCGCTATGCCACTGAATAGAATTTCAAGGAGGGACTGGTTTGTATTTAGACTTTTTTTTGTTTTTTCTGCCTTGAGACCATTCGTAGTGAAGCATGCACATTTTATTTGTATTTTTTACACTTTTCCGAGAGAAAAAAAAAACGGCAGATTCGATTTTTTGATTGGCTTTTAAAACTTCTGTAAAGGTACAGGTTTTTTTTTTTTTTAACCCTTTAACCCACCGCCATGTTAAGAAAGGAATAGTTTCAGGATTGGGCATTACGGTTAAGATTTTATTTATTCTATTAAGGCCTCCAGCGGTGTTGGCAGTAGAATGTCAAAGCTGGCTGAATGTAGCACGTCTTTGGGGGGAAAGTACTCGCTTGAAGCACACAAGTGTCATCGCTCAACCCAAACGACCGTGTTACTAGTTTTCAACCCTCCCAGGCGGCGACGTCGTCGGTGTGCATGTGGTTTTTGTTGGTCGTGCTGAATGCTTCACTGGCGTGCGAACTTGAGAATATTGTCAAAAAGCCCACCTGGGTAAATGTGTGGGTGGTTACAAGAAAAAGAAGCATCATTAGTGGCACAGGCAGCCATCGATAAAGAGACCGTGAGATACTTTTCTTCCTGCGCTGGCCAACAATTGTGACCACTGAACAATTTGAACCTATGTGAGTAAACTTCTATGTGAGATAAAATATTGCTATTGTGGGCTGTGATGAATGGAATGAGTTTCACAAATATCTGTAAAGAGTACATAAAAGACATTTCCAAAATGGCCTTATAAAGAATTTTTAAAAAGATGTCTTCTCAGAATAAAAAGGTCAAACTGATTAACTGAGTCGTGAATCTTAACTGCACAGTTTTATTTTGGCTTAGAAACATGAGGCACCAGTAAAAATACAGGCAGCAAAGGTTTACACACGGTGATGAGAAGTTGCGAAAAGTAGCCAAAAAAACCATGCATTATAAAAAACGCATTTGTTCTCAAATAACTTAATAAAATGTACTAAAATCATTACTCGTCTTTTGCTTAGCTGCATTCAAACCACACTGCATCATACCCAGTCAGACCAGGGAAACGTGGTCCAGCTTTTTGGGTATTTATTTGCCACAGTGAAGACTTGACGTCTAGTAGTGGTTGAAACCATTTCCCCTCTCTCCGTCCCGCCATATTCTAGACTTTGGCCTCCTCGTGTGGCATGCAGCCCGTCTCTGAATCCTCTCACTGGTCTTTCTTGCTCTCTGTGGGCGGCTCCAGGTTGTTGGTTTCAGGGTGGAGCTCGTCGCTGACCTCCTCTGGCTGAACGCCGCTCTTCTCTTCTTTCAAACCACGACTTTTGTTCAGCTTCTTGGATTTTTGGAAGAGTTCGTTGAGATTAAACGCTCGGATAATGTTCTCCTAGGATGGAAATGAACGTCATATGAGGATATAGCTTTGTGGACGTGACCGTTCCTACTCCACGAGTTAGTTGCATACAAGACTTGCCTCACTGAAGGTCCAAGACACAGCTCTCGCTTTAATGTCCACCATCGGACGTCTCATGAGTTCGCGCCCTTCTTGGAACAGCACCAGAGAGGGCAGCTGCTTGGCCAGAGGAGAGGTACTCACCCTGTAGCTGTTCAGACGTAATTCATGGGACAGTCAATTTACTGTGCTCAG